ACTAATTTAATTATGTGCTATTAATTATTTATCTGATATTAACTGATTATTTGTTATTGGCAGATTATTATTTTGATTAGTTAACTTAGATAATGTAATCTTCTTTTTTGTCTGTTTAGCATGTGAAATATATAAATTAGATGATCTGTCATATGGATTTTTGTATGTACTGGACTTGATATTTTTGAAAATTATATCTAATAATTTGTTAGTTGATAAAATAGAAGGAATAACTATCAACTTATTTGTTTATGAAGAGAATTGCAATCCAAGAGCACTTTTGAGATATTCTAAAAATGATGTTGGAGTTAGAAAGTTTTTTTTTGAAGAGTTTTTCTTATATTATTATTTTTTTGTATTTGATATTTTATTATATAGATATAACTTTGAAAGAAGATAAGAGAGTAAGTAAAATGAATTATTTTTATATTTTTATGAGTTTTTATTATTTTTATTATTTTTGTTTTTATAATATATAATAATATAAAAAAGAAGTAAAAGAAAAGAAAAATATAATTACCATAAATTGCTAATCAAAAGCCCTAGAGTACTTAACATTTTCACCCTATTTAGTAGGGTACTTTATATAGGAGAGTATATTGGTCAGAAGGAGGGGTATAACTGTGTATAGTATCTGGGTATTACACTTGGGTATTATATATTTTAGGAATACTTGTAGATTATAAATTTTTAATCACATACATATAAAAAAACACACTTTTTTATCAAAAAATGGTTCGTGTAAATAAACCAAGCAAAAGAGCAAGAGCAAGATCTACTCAAAAATTACATCGATCTTAATATGCCAGAGAAAAGCTAATAATTCTTCATTATCTTTAACACTATAAAAGTATCTGTGGAATAGCAAAAAAGTTTGGTATTGAACCCAAATAAGTACGTAACTGAAAAAACAAGATACAAGAATTAAGATCTATAGCATCTCATATTTTAAAACTTCATAAAGGAAAGCCAACTGCATATCCAGAATTAGAAATATTTTTGGCTGATTAGATTCAAGATATGCATAATTCTGAAAAAGCAGTTTAAAGAAAGGTAGCAATCTGAAAAGCTATGTCTCTTGTGGCAATAAATGAATAGAAAAATTGTTATCCTAGAATTCAAAATTTCAAATTTTCAGAAAAGTGACTTGATACTTTTATGACTCACCATAATTTATCTACTCAATGATGAACTACTATTGCTCAGCATCTTCCTGTTGATTTAATTGAAAAACAAGAAAGTTTTTTAAGCTTTATTCTCTATCATTGAATTTAACATGACTATTCTTTGAAATTCATTGACAATATGGATGAAACTCCATATACATTTAATCATCTAGTTGCAATAATAATTGACTAATATAGAACTAAAACTGTTAGTATTCATACAACTGGTAATGAAAAAAGAAATTTTACAGTGGTTTTAGCTTGTATGGCAGATGGCATAAAATTATTATCTTTGTACATTTTCAAATTAAAAAAAATTCCACGAGAAATCTTTCCTAAAGAAATTTTTGTTTGAGCTAATGCAAAAGGATGGATGAATAAAGAAGAAATATTATGGTGAATTGAAAAGGTATGGATCAAAAGAAATTCCTATAGAAATTCACAATCTCTTCTTGTTCTAGATTTCTTTAAAGAACATCTAGTAGATAGTGTAAAATGATGATTTGTTGAGAAAAACACAAATATTATCATAATTCCTAGAGGTTTGATCTCAAAATTATAATCTTTAGATGTTGCAATTAATAAGTATTTCAAAGCAAAGGTAAGTTTATTCTTTTTTACTATGTTAATATTATATATGATATTAATTTATTATTTTTAGATGTGCGAGTTATATAATGATTAGATGTTACAAGACATATATCAACTTATTGCAGCTAGTCGAATCCAGAAATCATCTTATGCCAAGTTAACAGAATGGGTTAAAACTGCGTGGGATACTATTGATCCTGATCTTATTATGTGAGCATTTAAATATTATGGAGTTTCAACTGAAACAGATAGTTTAGAAGATAATTTATTATTTGATTATGATCAGATAAGCAGTATAATTGAGAATTATACAACAGTAAATATTACTCAAGAGAAAGAAGAGAAAGCAAATGTGGATTTAAATTATGATTCAGAAGATAAGACATATCAAAATAATTGGAACAATAAAATAAGTGAAAGTCTACCTCAAATTGTTAGTGTAGATAAAGATTTATTAAATGATGCAGTGAGTAATGCAGGTGAAGATTCATCATGTAATATATGTGGTGTGGTAAATAATGTGAGTGAAAATTCATATCAAAGTTTTAGTAATGAGAAAGAAATTGAATATTAATATTTTGTTATATTATCAATAAGCTTTTTGTATATATGTAGAATACTAAACATTGCATTCTTTTTTCTTTTTACTTTAATAATAATAATTAGGTATAATCATAATGGGAATGCTTTACAAGCTGTTGCACTATGCTTAAATTTCTAAGTCACCTACTATGTTTAGTACCCAGGGTACTTGATAAACTATGCTTAAATTTTTAATACATATATCATGCATAGTACCCGGATACTTTACAAAAATAGGGCACCAAAAAGAGAGAGGGTACTTTAGTCAGAGGGATACTTTGATCAGTGATTTACAGTAATAAAAATTTGAGATTAAGAGTGCTAAACTATACTTTGCTTGAATATTATATGTAATATTATATTTAAAGATAGTAGTAAAGACTTTTTCACTTTGGATACCTTGGACTTCATCTGGTCAAGAGATTAATAAGGAAGAGATATGAAAAAAAATTTCTATTATTATTATTATTATTATTATTATTATTATTATTATTATTAAAGATGATTATAAGTTATTACTATTATTAAATAAGACTAGTAAGACTAATAAAAAGTTATTAAAATTATTTATCAGAGAGATCAAAATTAGATATTATGAATATATATATATATATGTATATGTGAGTGTATAATATTTAAGTATGAATAAGAAAGTATATAAAAAGAAAGAAGTTAATAATAAGTATATATAGATATATATATGTATATATAATATTAAACTTTTTTATTATTATCAAAGTTATAATTTTTCTAATTATATTATATAATATATCAGAAAAATTCATACAGAAAATTCAAGATATATAAAAATATAATTAAAATAAAATTCATATAAAAAACTAATTCAAGATAAATAAGAGTATTATATTAAAACTTATTTTTTATTTATTATTATGTGATTATTAAAAATATAAAATAGAAATAGTATCTTTAAATAATAATTTAATATTACATAGAATTATTAATATAATAAATAGAATTTAATAATAGATAATACTTATATAATCTCTAGAAAATACTTATTAATGAATAAAAAAAATAAATAATTATAAATAAAATATATAAATATAGTAATATACTAGCTAAATTAATAGAATAAGAAAAAAAATTCTACTAAGAAAACTATTTATAACTAAAATAACTCAAATATATTATGTACTTTTTTAACAAGCTAAAATAATTTTTGTAAAATAGTATTATATATAGTATAATATATAATATAATAATAATTTGTAAAATAAATATATAATTTGTTATAATTCATATTTTATTATTAAATTTTAATTAGTTCAATAGGTAAAAAGAATAGCAGAAATAAAAGTATTCTATTCATATTTATATACTAGTATTTTATTAAAATATTCTATTATTCTATTTGTTTGTGAGTAATATAATAAAGAAAATTTATATTTAATTTCAAATTTTATTAATAATTCTTTAATTATTTTATAAAAAAATTCTAATTTATTATCTAATTAAATTTCTTTAAGATATCTATTTTTATAAATTATTTTTTCAAAGATAAATTTTGCGATTATAGTAATTTTCTTATTAGAAATTACTTTATTTTTAGATTATTTTGTAAGATAATTAATTACTATAATAATATATTAATTTCTAGTTATTGTTATTTTACTAAATTTATTAAATCTATAATTCTATCAAAAGATTATTTAATTTTGATAGGGTATAAAGATTATTTAGTAGTTTTTTTATCAGTTTGCTAGCAAATTTTATAAGTTTTCATATAATTCTTTATATTAGTTTCCATATCATTTTATTAATATTTAATTATAATTTATTAATAGATTCCTTTATATTCAAAATATCTAGATAAAGAGTTTGAATATATTGTAAATTAATAAGAATAACTTTTATTTTATAACTTTAAAGATATAATTAATTCTTTTTTTCTATTAATTTTATATAATATATTATTAATTTATAAAAAATATTCTGCTTGATTTTGTATTTTTTATTATTGTTCAAGAATTAATTCTACAAGATATATTTTATTATTCAAAAATCATTATAAGTTATAATAAGTTATAAATTCATGTTATTATTATAAAAAGAAAAGTTTTTTAATGATTTTCTAAATATATCTAGGACAAGATATCAGTCTTTTGATTTTTTCTTTCTAATCAATAAATAATAATAAAGATATATTTTATAAGAAGTATGATTTATTTATTTATTCTAGTAGAATAATTTTATTAATTTTTGAATAACTATCTCAAGATATTATAATTAGTTATTATTTCAAATATAGTTTTAAGTATATAATAGCTAATGCTTCTTTTTCAATTACTCTATATTTTTATTTATTTGATTTTAAAGTGATACTTATATAAGTAATTACTTATTTTCTTTTATTTTTATCTTTTTGAGATAGAATAGCTCCAAGTTTTAAGTCTGAGATATTAGTATAAAGATAAAATTTCTTTATAAAATCTAGATAAATTAAAATAAATACAATTATAAAATATTGTTTAATTTATTAAAATATTTTTTCTTGTTCTATTATTTAAATAAATAATTTTTTATTTTAAAAAAGTTTAAATAAAGAGATAGCAATTTGAAAAATTCTTTTACAAATTTTCTATAATATTTAACTAGTCCAAAAAAAGATCTAAGTTCTTTAATAGTTCTTGATTGAGAAAAATCTTTTATCTTTCAAATAGTTAATAGATCAAATAAAATTTCTTCTTCAGTTATTATATATTCAAGAAAAGATAATTCTCTTTTGCAAAAGTTATATTTTTTCAGATTGAGTTTTAGATTAGTATTTTGAATTCTATAAAATATTTTATTAAGATAATTCAAATATTCTTCAAAATCTTTTAATAATATATTCAAGCTATTAATATATATATTGACAAAGTTCTAATTTTAATCATCTAACACAATATCTATTATTTATTAGAAAGTTGCTAAAGTATTATATAATCTAAAAGACATAATATTAAATTCAAAAAGTTCTTCTCTAAAAATAAAAATAATTTTAAATTTATCTTCTTTTTTTATTTCAATTTGCCAGTATTTAAAAATTAAATTTATAAATAAAAATCAATAGGTATTTTCTAATAAGTCTATTATTTTATTAATTCTAGGTAATAAATATATATCTTTTTATATAATTATACTTAATTTTCTATAGTTAACACAAACTTTTTTCTTCTCATTCTTCTTTAAATAAATGAAACTCAAGAATTAGTTAAAAATCAGATAATACTTATATCTAATATTCTTTAAATTTTTTTAAATATAAATGATTAATCTGAAAGAGTTATTCTATAAAGTTATTATTTAATAGATAATTCAATTTCAGTATATATCTTATATTAAATTAGATTACTTTGATCAAGTTGATATAATTCAATAATAAAGATATTAATATTATCTTCTAATAATTGTATAAGAAATCTTTCTTGCTTTATAGTTAATTTTTATTATTTAATAATCTTTTCTTCTCATTCTTATTTCAAAAAATAAGTATAAACTTCTTGATAATTAGTGAATCCAAATCTAGCTATTCTATAACTAGATTATTTAAGTTCTTCTTAAGTAAATTATTTTAAGTTATTTAATAGATACAAGTTATAGAAATATTAGTTGAGTGATTTTTTGATTAGGTTTAATAATATAATCTTCTTTTAAATTATTTTAAATAATAATACTAATATTTTCAATATATTTAAAATTGATTTTTTGCTTAATAAGAGATAAGTAAGATATTACTTAATATATAACTCCTACAAGAATTTTTATAATAATATATATATATTTATTAGTATAACTTAATGTAATAGAATTCTAATTACTTCTTTCTAGTATAGTAAATATCATAATTAGTATTGATTAGATAAGCTTTTTCTGATAATTTTTCTTTATTTTGATTATTATAAACTTTGATTGTATAATATTTATCATTTTATTTATAGATATTTCTTTTAAATAGTTATTAAATTATTATAAAAGTTTATTAAGTATTTGATAAATAATATTAAATTTTTCTTGAATTTTAATTAATTCAAGTTATGAAGATTAATTTGAAATAAAAATAAAACTATAAAATATTTTTCTTTATCCAGTTTAGTTAGAAGTTTAAATTATATATAATTATTATATTTTTCATTATCACATAAAATTAAATATTTTTGATAGAGTTTGATATGAATATAATTCAGATAAGTAAGTTATTATCTTCAATAAGACTAAGTAATTAATAAATATATTGAAATATTTTAGTAGTAGAGGCTTTTATAGAACTCTTATAGATAATTTTATAAATAAAATTATCTTTATATATAAACAAGATAGAAATAATTTGCTAATTTCATTATACTTATTATAAACTTTTTTTATTCTCTGAATTTATAATTATTCTGATATTCTTTTTCTATTCTTTATAATTAAACTAAAAAATATATTGATATTAATAGATATAGAAATATTTTTTCTCATAACTTCTAGTAATAAATATATTATAAATAAGTAGAAAAGTTTAATTATTTTTTTTTAATATAATCATCAAAAATTATTAGCTTTTCTTTATTCAGCTTAAAATAAGTTTTAATATAATATTTGTCTAGATATTTCTCATATGTATTATATTATTTAATTTAAGAGTTAAAATAAATTTATCAGTAAATTTAATAGATATCAGATTAGTGATAATCAATAAATATGCTAATCATCACTAATTTTTTGATTATACTAACTTAAAATCTATGTAAAAATCTGAAAATAAAAATTTTGGAGAAGTATAATCTAAAGAAACTGTAATAATTAGCATAATTACAGATCATTACAGTTCTTTAGACAGAAATTAAATAGATAAATGATAAATAGATTAATTATATGCATTATCATTTATTTTTTTTCTTTGAAGTTTACTATAAGTGCAAATTTGACTTTAAAATTCTTTGCCTATTAGTTTTTTAAAACATATATTTATTTAATAAAAAAAGATTTTTTTTGT